TTACTCCATTTGTCGTACAGACGCATCCTTCAAGGGCTAGAAATATATATATATATATATTTGCTTATATACAATATATATATATATATATTAATATATATATATATATATATATTTGCTATTTAAAGGGGTTTATTGAGGAGATATGTCTGTGGGTTGTAATAGGAAGTGTTTGCTGCTCAGGTGTATGTACACTGTATGTTTTTATTGCCTTGTTCGAAGCCGCCCTTCAGTCAAAAGAAAAACCCCAGAAGAAAATTAATGCAACATCCTCGGGGCTGCAGAGGCCCCCGCTGAGCCTGTATGAAACAGTCTAGGAGACAGCCAGCGAAATAGCATCCAGTGCTGCTGCTGCTGCTGCTGCTACTGCTGCTGCTGCTTCTGCTTTAGGTGGTAGTCTAGGAGAGAGGCGGCGAGATAGCACCCATGTTGCTGCTGCTGCTGCTGCTGGTGCTGTTGCTGCTGCTTTAGGTGGCGGTCTAGGAGACAGGAGGCGAGATAACACCCCACGCCTGCTGCTGCTGCTGCTGGTGCTGTTGCTGCTGGTGCTGTTGCTGCTGTTGCTGCTGCTGCTGCTGCTCTTCATCACTTTCTTCGTCTTCTCCTACAACAATCTCCCCTATTGGAGTGTTCGCCCCAGGTGTACAGACAGGTGGATCGTGAGAAAATGTGTCTGCTGTCCCCTCATCAAAGGCCCCCCAAGCGCTGTTATCTGCATTTTTCTCGCTGAGGTTGCTGCTGCTGCTGCTGCCTTCTGCGGGCCCCACACCGCTAGATCGGGTGCCTGTACACTCCGTGCTATTGGCTCCGGAAACCGCGTTGCTGCTGCTGCTGCTGCTGCTGCTGCTGTTCAGACACTCTAAATCTGCAAGAGGATCTCCTTCATAAAACAAATCTAAATCTCCTTGACTTAGAGGCCTCTTCCCTCCATCAATCCTCCCCATTAGAGTTGCTGCATTATCTTGTCTTATAACATCAGCAGAACAGATAGCACGGGGGCCCCTGGCTGCTGTGGGGCTGAGTGTTGAAGTACCCCCTTGGGGGCCCCCATGGGGGCCCCCCCCTCTTACTACTCTCATTCCTCTTGATAAGAAAGAATCTTTTAAAGGCTCTTCTTCTGCTACGCACTGCCTAAAAGAGTTGTCAGAGTCAACAGATGCAAACGCAGGCAGTGATATAGAGCCAGGGAGACGAAGGGGCCCCACAAGGAAAGAAAGAGAGCTGCAAGGCCACACACTACTGGTACCCTCGGGAGACGGGATCGCACGATCCCGATCCCCATAACGATCCCCGCCCCCGCAAGCGATATCACTAGGCTGGCGTGGGGGGCTGCTGCTGCTCGTGCTACTACTGCTGCTGCTGCTGGTGCTGCCTGCAGAAGCAGAAGCAGCAGCAGCTGCAGCAGCAATGGAGGTTGTAGGGGAGGAGAGCGCATGCAAGTACTGTTCTGCGAATCTGTAGATATCTTTATCTGTTTCTTGTATTTCTTCTTCAGGTGTATTGACTTTATCTATCAAAGCCCCGTATAGACGCCCCATATCTCTCACTTCGTAGCTGCTGTCATACATTGCTAGCTGCAGCAGATACTGCAGCAGCAAATCTAAACGTGCGAAATGCTCTTCACTCTGCTCCCGCGAAGGAGGAGGGATTAACCGCTGCATCTCTCCCTGCTGTGCAACCTTAACATTGGCTGTTGTTGCTGCACTTGAAGGGGCCCCCAAGGGGGCCCCCTCAAGAGAAGCCTTTATGGGGGCCCCCTCATTAGGGGCCCCCTCATTAGGGGCCCCCCCCTGGGGCCCCGTTAGCCTATTGTTTCTGTGGAATGCCCAAAGACGAATGCCTAATAGGAGTATCTGCAGCTTAACCTCTTCTGCTTCTCCTCTGAAACCCCTAGACAGTTGACGTAGTGCGTCTGCAGCAACCCAAGAGACTTCATAATGATATTTACCGATTACCCATATTAAAGAGGCCCTTGCAGCAGGTGAAAATAAACGAGAGAGCTGAGCAGCAAGATGCAACACTAAACGCGCCAGGGTTTCGCTGTCTTCTTCATTTTGCTTCTGCTGTATTAAAGTACGTATGCCGACCACTGCCTCTGCAGCAACAGCAGCAGAAGCAGAATCAAGCAAAGAAACAAACAAACGCATGCAGAAGACCTGTGCTTGTTTATGCTGCAAAGCCAGAAGTGTAAGCACTCGAAAAGTATTAGTTAACAGGCCCTCATCCCCAGCCCAGTGTATATACACCCGAAGCTCAGGCAGCAGCACAGAAAGGCATGAAGGGTTTGCTGTGCCTATACACTGCAGCAAACTTAACTTCTGCTGTCGCACTGGGAAGGAATCAGACTGCTTTAAATAAAACTCCTTCATGTGCTTCTCGAACAAACGAGGATTAACAGAAACAAAAGAATATATTACTCGCAGCAGAGGCTCTTTAAAGTCGCTGGGGCAGGTGTACATACACCGCAACAAAGGCATTACTACGCAGCCCCAACAACTCGGAGGAAACAAACACTGAAAAGCCGCGCATGCAGACACAACAACTGCAGCACTATCGCTGCTCAGCAGCATCTCTAACGCCTCTTCAAATCGTTCAAAGTCTTCAGGAAGAGGTTTGTACAGCTTCTTCTGAGGGGCCCCCGGGCACCCACTCCCGTTGGCTAACGATCCATTCATAAACCCATGGGGGCCCCCCTGGGGGCCCCCTTGGGGGCCCCCTTGGGGACCTCCTCCTTTTCCTACACTTCGGCTGGCCAGGAAGGCGAGAGAAGAGAGTCTGGGGGCCCCTGCAGCACTGCTGGTGTTTGCATTTGCGTTGTTGATATGTTCTAAAGCATCCGTGTGGGTTTGAGGGGGCCCCTGGGGGGCCCCCTCATGCACTTCATCTTCCTCCACAGGCTGAGGCTGCCTGAAGAAGCAGCGGCAGTACCTTGTTAGGAGATCAACAGCAACTACTTGGGGCCCTGGCTGCAGCTGAGGCAGACTAGCAACAATGCGGGAGTAGAAGGGATGCAGCAGCGCTAAAGCCTGCTTCTGAGAGCAAACACCTGCTTCTCTGCTGCAGTGTGGGGCCCCTGCAACAGGGGCCTCGCCACCGTTGGGGTGGCCCCCATTGCTGCTGCTGCTGCTGCTGCTGCTGCCCAGGGGCCCCACAGAGGGGTCTGCTGCTGCACTGGGGCCCTCCTCCACCAGCGACTGAAAGAAGATAAGACGAAAAGATATTAAAGCAGCGCCTGAGACCGCCAACTCCCCGTCTCCTATTAGCTGCAGCAGCAGCTCTACGACTTCTTCCTTCTGATCTGTGTCTAGGAAATATATTTTTGCTGCTGCATGCGCTGCTGTCTTTCGTACAAGGGGAGACGTATCTGCTGCAGCACGTTTGAGGCTGTGCAGCAGCAGCTGCACGATCTCCAACAAAGAAAGAGAAGATAAAGACTTTAAAGCAGCAGCGCGAACTACGTGGGCTCCGCTGTACAAGTCTTTCTGATAACAATTCACAGACAGCAATGCTAAGTCCGGCTGCTCATGTGCATGCTGCACGAGGTAAAGATACACCAGACGTTTTAGCTCGAAGTCCGTGGTGGAGAGGTTCTTCAAGACATCAGCAAAAAACAAAGAAGAGCCTCCTTCAGCCCCAAACTCCCCTGGGGCATAGGTGCATGCAGCAGCAGCTTCTGCTGCTATAGCGCGACGAAGGCCCACGAGCTTCGTCTCCGTGTTGGGGCTTGACAGCTGCTGACGAATCTGAGAAGCTTGAATCTCCCCCTCCTTGAAGTAGTTGCTTTCACTTGAGCTCACCAGCTTCAGCAGCGCCCGCACGCCCTCAGACGCCTTCTGTACCAGCGGTGCAGCAGCCGCTTGCGTTGCGCTGCGCACTTTGTCTACCTGCTCCATTTTCTAGGAAAAGTTGCAAGCAGCAGCAGCGCTCACGAAAGAAGAAACACGCACAGGGAGCCCTGATGTATATATATATATATATATATATATATATATATAAAGGGCGGGAGGCCACCGCTAGCTAGCGGGCATGCAGACAAAGAAGACACCCATGTAGGGCGTAGACTGCTGGGGAGACAGAAGGAAAACAGGGAGGGAAAGGGATGCGCTTTAGACAGTAATCACAATATGCTGGATCTTGAATGCTCGCCGACGGCTCGGGAGGCTCAATTCTTCTCAACTGGTGGAAACTCAGCAGCTGTTTGCTGTGGAGAACGACGTAAAGTTATGGAAAAGGTTTATTTTTGAATGCTTCCTATCAAGCAACCAGAAAGGACCGTAAGGAACCACATTCAGCTGGCTGATCTACCGCTGTCTCAGTCGCATCTCAGCACGACAGGAGTTGAACGATCGCCCGAAGCCGCAATAAAACGCCACCTTCAGGGTCAAGAATGAAGATAATGAAGAAAAAACAAACGGGTTTACAATAAGAAGAGGATATTTAATAGAATGACGAGGAAGAAGAAGATGTACACGAACGCATACGAATGGAGAGCTGCGCAGACAGCTCACGACCGACCCATTGATTTGTCAGTAGCCAAGAAAGCCAGCAGATAATCCCATGGATAAAAAGATAAGGAAATCCTTATTCTTCACACAAAAACAAAAATCAAGAAAATCCGTTCATAAATAATAAAGGATCGCTCTCCTTTGCTAGGCACAGCCCCCCGCCGACCGGAGTGTAGAAAGTACAGAAAAACATGAATATAAGTTGTAGAGCGTAAGGGAAAGTATTTTCCCGTTATTTTTCTGTTTTCTTGTGTTATTTATCTACAATTACACTCATTTACATGCTTGTCAGTACCCATCGTCCGATTAAAAGGAAGGCTTTTCTTATTTTTCTCTTCATACACATTGCCTCACACCAGCCGCCGACAGTAGCTGCTCTAATCAAGCACTACTTCAGCTTCTTTTTGCTTTTGTTACAAATATAAAGAAATACAAAATAAACTGATAGAAGAAGTGTAGAGCTTATGTCCCTTAAAGCTGTTTCTTTAGCTCTCTAGCAGCCGCAGACCTTGTGCTGATTGGTGAAGTTTTATAGAGAACAGCAAGAGAAATGCCTTTTAAAACAAAAATAATAATTAAACATATTTGCATGCGTTTAGAAAATAAGAAGAAGACTTTAACGCCTATTCGGGCCCTCCTGTTTTACCAGGCAGAGCAAATACTCTGCGCTCTCACAGTCGTCTGCTTTAAATGCAGTATTGTTTGAATCAAGATAAAAACTAATTAAAAATATATATTTAATTATATATATCTTATTTATTTGTAGTAATATGAACAGCAGGTAAATACCCCAAGGGAAACACTTGTAAAGCAGTAAGAGCTTCTTTAGAATCCCTCATTGTCTATTTTTGTCTATGCATTTGCTCTTTAATCGATATATATGTACATATGTATCTATAATTATATATATACTTAAACGTAGTTGAACGTATATACAATGTATGCAGATATAGATACAGTAGATACGTAGATGTCATAAATATAGATGCAGATGTATATATATATATTATATATATTACATATATTATATATATATTATATATATATCGATCTAAATGTATATATAAATATAGATATGTAGATATAGATACAACTAGAGATGCATACACATACGTATAGATAATAAATATAGATATAGATAAAGATAATGCATAGATATGAATATAGATATTGATATAGATACGTATAGATACAAATATAGATGTAGATAAATAGGCATATAGATTTATTTAGGGGTGATAGAGAAATATAAAGAAAAAACCTCAAGTCCTTAGAAAGAAATTAAGAGGGTTTGATGCAGATGGGGGGGCCTCGCAGACCCTGACAGGGCACCAGCAAAGCCTGCTGCAGCAGCAAGCATGCAGCATGCAGCAGCAACAGCAGCAGGAGCGAAGCTTGCTGCTGCAGCAGCACTAGCCACGCCTGTTCTAGCATCAGCAGCAGCAGCAACAGCAGCAGCAGCAAACGTCGCTGCAGCTGCTGCCCTGACCCTTAGGAGGAGTTTGCGTCATTTGATTTGCTTAATTCAAACTAAAATAAAAATTAATTAAAAAGAGTTTTCATTTGCATGCATCCCGCTGGACTCAGCGGCTTATACATATATATATATATATATATATTTATATATATATAGTAATAATATTACGTAAGTATATATTAGATTATTATTAAAGAGAGAATACGAAGAAGACCC